CGGGATGTTAAACGGAGACAACCCATACCCAATTCCTTCGCGCACTTTACGCCTCATATTTACTATTCTTCAAGCCACAATTCCTTCGTCAACCGCACATCCCGGAGGAGTGCTAAACCATTCGAGAAACCAACAGCCGCTCTGAAATGAGCGAATTCGAAGAAGCGTGGATCATTGCTGTAGGGTAACCAGAAATTATCGCGAAGTGTGAAAGAAAGTTAAATCGCTTGTTACCAGATTTCAGAGTCAAGCAGAGTAATTGCGGGTAGCTAGGCTAGGTGGCGCTAGGTACCGCCCAATTCATGTGCTACAGAAATATGTTTATTTGCTCACACCATCATTGCGCTTCGAGCCCTTCAGCCACCTTTGTTCTATACACTGCCAGATATATTGCGCATACTACAAGCATCAGTTTAACATATACATTGAGCGCATGCTGAATGTACGTCTGTATATGGAGCGCACACATGCAGTCCACCAACGAGGTAGAGGGGCTTAGAGTAATAACTGGAAGTTCCGAAGTGACACGTCCCCGATTGCCGCCATGTTTTACGCAAATGTGACCACTCGTCACGTGACCTCGCAAGAGCCGTGACGTCACAGGTAAGATGGCAGCGCCCAGAGCTGGCGGATACGAGTTTGTTCGGTGCGCGGTAGCCGTGATGTGCAGCTGCTTTCCGACGACTTCGGGATTTTTCGTATTCGCCGACGCAGGTATAATGTGAAATTATGAAGGAATGAGACTTTATACCCTTTTCGAGCAAAATCGCCATGGATCATCTGGATATTAACACTTGTGAGGCAGCATCAGCCGTATCGCCGTACCGGTGCTCGGATTCGGGATCTGTTCGAGGATCGATAGAACTTTGAGTGCTTTAAGCCTGAAATTTTTCGCAATCTCTTAGCTTTGTTTGAACGTTGGAATGTCTGAGAATCGACAAGAAATGTATGGGTCGGATGTAGGGCCTAGGGGAATTTGTTTCAGCCCTAGGTAACTGCATAATCACAGCAACTTTTAGCGAGGAAGCTCCGGCGACCTTTGAGTTTAGCACTTATCAACAATTTTGTTGATCTTGCAAGCATCAGTTTAAACTTGCAAGCATCAGTTTAACATATGCATTGAGCGCATGCTCAATCTACGTCTGTATGTGGAGCGCACACATGCACTCCACATACAAACGTCAGTACAACATGACACCCAATAACTACTTCCGGGCTCTTCATTTTTTTTAATTTTTATACTCGTTGTATTGAAAGTACGGAATTTCTCGGTGGCCACCTAAGCAATAGTCAATATGCACAGCATGTTGATTTTAACAGGGGAGCTGTTAAGGTCTAGGTTCCCCAGGATCGTTTCGGTACCAAACAAATGTCGACACAAAACTACACAAAACTCTGTGCAGCTACAGATATCTATGAACAACGGCCGCAGCCAGTCAACCAGTCTGGTTACTGCTATCGCTCATAGGTGGCGGCAACCTTTCTAGCTATCATCGAAGAGTGGATAGTTGGGCAAATTGATGGGAATTCATCGTAGGAAACAGCGCGAAAAGCAGACGAGGAGTAAGAAGAAGCACACGTGACAAGCGCAGATCTCCTCCCGTGTGTTCATTCCTCGTCCTCGTCTGTTTTGCACGCTGTTTTCTACGTTCTTGTCACTTGCAATTTGGACTCACGATGGGTCGGCCGCGTGCCCTTTCTTCGGGGAAAGAAGACCGGGTGTGGAAGGAGCGGCGACGTACGCAGCAGCGCGAATGGGTCCGCAACCACCGCGAAGCCGCTGTCGCCTCGAGTTTCACTGCGTCGAGCGCTTCAGATTCTCTTGCGAAAGAAGAGTACATCGCTCGCCTCGAAAGCCGCCGCCGAGAACAGAAGCTACAGTTCCTATGATCTTCCTTCTTCACCAGAACGGAAACGCTAAAAGGTTTTTTTTTTTTTTTTTTTTTTTTTTTGTGAGTATACCTCATAACTCTGAGATTTTATTGAGCTTCTCATGGGATGATACTTTTTTTTAAATAGTAGACGCTCATACCGCAAATATTTAAAGCAAACAAAACAAGCCGCTCCAATCTGGTCCCAAGCCGCGTCTGGTTCCCCGCACGGCACGTCGTAGCCAGTTTTTCTGTTTTATTTAGTTCTTTATTTACGCCGTTCGCGTGCGGCTGCAGTCGTCGTCTTGAATTAACCTCTGTAGAGAAAGTATTCACTCAGCTGTGAGCGATGCTTCATGGACAGAGAAATCGCTTTCGATCAACTTGAAACCAGTCAAAGCTGCGACTTGCTGTGGGTATTAAGTGTACGGAGCTAAGCTGTGGTGAGCTCAAAAACTTCTATCGCTGATCCCAGCGCTCCGATTGCAGGGCAGTATTTCCAGGAACAGCGTTATATTTCAACAAGAAAATAAAGAATAGCCTTTTTTTGAGGGGCGATTTTACCTACCATATTTTCTTAATCCTAAATTTCGAAAATGTAAATAAACATACTTTCCGTAACATTTAGATACTGTTCAGATTTTTCCACAGAGCGGAATCGCCCTCGGGTTGGAGAAAACGGAACATCGCAGACGGCAGCCACATTAGCCACTGTACGATAGGAGCTATGGTTCAGACCAGCGTTGGAGCATGACTATCCGCAGGTCGATTGAGTGAAACGTAATCCCTCAAGCGGTGTTAAAGCTCATTGATGTAAACGGAATGTGAACCTGCAACACACCGCACCTTCTGATCACACCCCGACCAGCGGCATCAATGCCCGACAGTTTACGTCGTCCCATCTTGCTGTTACATTACTGATACGCGAACAAAGGGTCACATCGACGAGAATTCCAGTATTCTGTTCAAAACGCACAACACTGCCGTCGCGATGCCGCTGCTATGTTGCTGAGACTCAGAAATACAGAACCATCTTGACCGCCGGTTCGCACTCGGCATCGGAAAACTGTACTGCACTCAGCACAGGAGGTACCCAAGTGCCAGGCTGGAAAATCTCGCTGTCTCGGACACAGTTTCCGCGGTTTCCATAACGTCGTAAACACTGACACGTCCTTCCGCAACCCGAAGGCGGCCTTCTTAGCCCAGTGTACGTAGCCCTGCTGGCACTGCTCCAGAACTTCGCTGTGTTTCTAGCGGCTTCTCTTGCTCCTTTGATAAAATTAGTGGTAAAAAACATCGATGCAAAAGAAATGCTCTTCACGTTGGGGCTGGGTGACGGAATTACAGGGGCCCTTCGCTGGCGCTGAAGCTCAGTGAACTACCAACATTTATTGGACAACGAGCGCGATGTGCTCGAAAAACGAATTTGAAAGAAGATGAGGCGGTAGGGCGAAACCCTTAATCCGCCTGCCTGGAGAAGGAGAAAAACTTCTTTTTTGTCGCTTCTTCTCGTGTCCGCTTGGGGGCGCGTTAGTAGAATGAAAGAAAACGCGCTGTTCCTACCTTTTTCCTCCTTTTTTGTTCCTTAGAGTGTAGGTACTAAAAATTAAAAATAATGGGGTTTTATTTTTACCAGGCACATCTTAGGTACCTTTTCTGGTCTTTTCACAAAGCAACTACGACAATTTTAACTGTAACACAGAGTTTGTCATATATCTTGCTACATTTATCTACATGAATTTAAGACTTTCAGTCGCCGTTGTGAAGTATAATTAACCTTGGTTTCGAAGAACTGCGGTCGCAGGAGCTCTTATATTTCGGGCCGTTCTATTGACTGGTTTTATATGGCAAACGGATACCTCAGTTTAAAAAAAAAAGCCTTCCTCAACTTACAGTAAAAACATTTCTGAGTTCTGGAGCCTTGATAATTATGATCAAGCGTATGCGATGGCTTTTCCCATATTGGGCGAGTCAGTGCTGGCGAAAGTGAAAGAGCAATCACGAGAGGTTGAAAACTGTTGCGTCTTTTTCCGGAATACAATTTGTTACAAATCTTCCCAAACACTCATTTTTACCAATTACCTAAGTGCAATTTGTTAGAAGCATATATTTTATTATGTTTTCTACCAGAAGGTCTAAATGCTGTTGTTAAATATAAGCAGAAATAATCACTAAAAATTCGGGCTACAGTAAATTTGACTACAATTATTATGTGATATCCTTGGCATCGCTCGATGTCACTAGAGCTATATTGGCTCTTATGAAATCACCCGTGAAACTCGACATGCCTCTTTGCACCTCCCCAATCTTGTCTCTGGTCTCAGCCACGTAGGCAAACTCTTGCTTTATGAAATCGTTATGTTGTGGAACAAAGCACAAGAGGGTATTATTCCGAAAGAATGCGGTTGGCCAAAAAACAGTTTTTATGTTTTTTATTAAAACTTTGCTGCATAGACACACTTGGCAGAGCCGGCAGATTGCTGAAGGAATCAGTCTTGCTTTCTACTTGTTAGTGGCATTTTATTAGACCAACCCGTGACTTACTTACCACCACCATATAATATATTGCTGATCCTGTTGGTTTTACGCGGATGAACTATTATATTAATAATAACCTGCTTTCAGACGAGAACGAACGATTTTGATTTTCCTATTAATCTGCATTTGGCCAGCGTTTCGTTGATTTTGACTTGTGGTCGATTGCTTCACTGCACTTTTAGGTAGTTTTTAGCTCTTTCAAATAAAGAAGGAGCATGTTTGGTCTTTAATCTAAAGTAGACTGCTAAAGATCAGAAATGGAGCTTCATTCTAGAAGCTTGTGTTTTGATTTTGGCTCCATATGTCACGCTGATACTCAACTAAACAAATGACCTTACTTAAAATCGACATTCCATACTGTGTCTTGCGAGTGCTTTAGTGCCACCCACAAGAATTGAGGACTATGATGGCTTTAACAGTGCTCAGAAAGTGTTATACAGCCCTAAAAAAATGCAATTCACTGCGATAAGAGCACCATTTACATGGCAAGACTTTCAAAAAGTAATTAGATAAAAAATTATTCACGGTGATTTTGGTTTTGGCTCTTTTTCATATGCGAATAACAAACATAATTTGTGATCTTCAGAAAGAATGCGCAAGAGTACACCTAGCTCATCCAGGCAGTACATGCTTCCTCATGTTCGGCAGCTGGTGGCAATCTGGGGATTCTACTTGATTTTGTTGTTAGCTCAACTCAGCGCTGCAAAATCATCATTGGGTGAGTAATATAGTCAGAGTATCCTTTGAAGGCTTTTGCATTGTATAATGTAGACTAATTCATGCCTGTCAGCCTCAAACGTGTGACGAGTATAAGTAATATTTTAAAATATTAGTATTAAAAAAATTAATATCTTATATCAAGATGAATAATTCCATTTCCTTTCAAATTGTACCAGATTCGTCCGCCAAAAAAGTGTGTCAAACAGAAGCCTGCCAAGAAAGAGGTGAGAATGCTTAGATGCACTGGCACATATCCTCCTATGACACCCCATGATCACCAGATATATATATATATATATATATGTGTGTATTATATTGTAATAACTTGTTATACGATATCTTATATCTTATTGTCGTGTCGTATAATATTATCTTATTCTACGATATAATATACATATATATATATATATATTATGGAGTAACAAAATGATGTTTTGCTGTTACATAATTAGTCCTTTATCGTGCTTGCTGCCCCCATGTCTGTCCGTTGAACATTGTCCCTGACTAAATAAACAAATTAAGGCCGTGACGTTTGAATGTTTACGCAAGTGAAGTGTGAAACCCCGCCTGTCGTACCTATTGAATACAATTCCATTCTGCCCTTTTCTAAAACAATCTTTTTATTTTCTGTTTGTTTCTTATCTGAGTTGGCATATTAGACTAGTGGCATTACTATTTATTTGTTTACTGTTAATTTCGCTTTGTAAACTCATATTTCCATCATAAAAAAGTGGTTGTTGGGCTCAAGGTGTTTGTGGATTATGTCACGATCGCACGTGGGGTTGAATGTAGTGACAACCAGAGGCGTTTGGTTCGGGAGAAGGTAAAAGGGAAGGGTGGAGACGGTGGAGATGTGGGGAGGCGAGCGATATTTTTTTCTTACCTCCCTATATTGTTTACATTTTCTTTCTCAAATGAAGTGATTTGTTTGCTCCCCCCTCACCCCGCCCTCCGAAGTCACTCACCGTTCGCAAGGAAGTAAATTATGTTCTGTTTGTAATCTTTTGGTTATCTTAATTGATTACCTCGTGCTGTGTTTCTCTCGTTAGTGACGTAATTATGTAGCATAATACTTGTTGTTCTGCGACAGATCAGGGTGCAGACCAAGTGTACATCATAAAGTCCTTTTATTACCGCAGTTTATATATTTGGTAAAAGCATATTGTTGAATTCTTATGCAGCTAAAATGGTGTTGGCCAGCATGGACCAGAACGAGGATCCTTGTACTGACTTCTATGAATACGCGTGTGGAAACTGGCAAAAAAAACACAAAATACGTGACGACAAGACAAAAATTGGAAATTATCATATTCTTCATGAGAAAGTTCAGACGGACCTAAAAAGTATGTTTTCATTAAGTGTGTCAACTGAAAACCTTTATCTCGTCTTGAAAAAATAGCTTTGCCGCTTGATTAGCGGCATAGGAAAAGCGAAATATTCTGCTCAAACTTTTCTGCTTCCCGTTCCAGTTTTAAGGGCGCTAAGCTCTTCATATTATACTTGCTTTATATCTTGTGCCTCGAGCGAATACTAGACAACGTATCTAGGAGGGCACGGAGAATTTTGTAGTTGTGTTTCATGGCGCAAGCTCATTACACGCGCTCTAACAATCCTAGGAATCTCAGAATTGCAATCATGAGTAGCCTTTTCTTTTTCTTAATAATGCGACCAAACATATCGGCACGTCTCTTCTTTCAGAATTCGCACAAGAACAAAGGGCATGTCCTGATGTTTGCGCGGGTTAAAAAAGGTGGCAAATAGGTGTAATTTTTCTGTTTTCTTCGATGCTTACTGGGCGCGTTGGTTGACTATGTGGCATGAAAAGACAATCGCAAAATGCACATTAGTTCCGCTTGAGGGCAAGCAAGTTAACTATGCTCTTTGTACCATTTATAATCATGTTTATTTTTAGATGTAAAGCAATCTTATATGCGTTTTTGTTTTAGAACTCCACTAGCACGTTCGTCGCTAAACGCATATATTATTTAGTATTACGGTGGACGTACCAAGCACCGAGTATGCCAAGTTTTCCCGTTCAGAATAGAGAATTAAGCTGTCCTTCAAACCGCAAGTGTAGCTTTGATATTTCCTTTGGTCTTTTGTTTGTTTTATTTATTTACTTCCGCGCCACTATGTAGATATTATCTTGACCACTTCCTGGAAATCTCTAATAACAAAATCCAGGCTCTTCAAAATCAGAAGCATGCGCACTTTGATTAGAAGAGCGAACTTCGAGAGTAACCTCCGTTTTTTTTTTTTTGGCGTATCAAACCAACCCGTGCTAATAACGAACTAAGCGAGAACATCGCGAAATATTTCAGTAGGAGAGAAGAAGACGCTTCTGAAACCCCAACGACTCTCTTTGTCGAAAACAATCAAGTTTTTAATATCTACTATGCATTGCATATCAGTGCACTCTATATCAGTATCATGCACTGCATATTTCGCTTTTATTGATATAACTTATTTGTCTAGTTGGGTGACCTTAAACAGCGAGAAAAAAAAAGATTTCGCACATAAATGAATCTTAACCCAGAGTGCACAATAATGTGACTACGTAGTCTGAGAATACCGCAGCGTGATAGCCAGTTTGAGTATTTCGTACTGAATTTTATTGGAGTACTGAATTCAGTAAATATATATACATCCAACCAATATAGTTTATGTTAAGGAGTAAACAAGCAATACAAAAATTAACCGCATTAAAATCTCAGATTGACAGGTATTTCTTGAAAAAACGCAAAGATACGACAAAGAAAGGAAAAGAAAAATACACCACGAAGAGTTAATGACTTTCTACGAACAGTTTAATCGAAACAGAAAAGAGGAAACACGAAAATATTGCCCTGAGGGCGTCGATGCGCATACGCCCCCTATCCCTAGTCCTTTATTCCCCTGTTCGGGAAGAGGGAGGAGGTTTTACCTTGTACCATCAAAAAAAAGTGTAGCCGTAAAGTCGATCATTATAATCCCTTGTTTAGAACAATTATGTCGTGGTCAACGATCAAAACTCAAACTCGACAATCGCTAATGTGATTGTTGAATTTTTGAATACGTCCTTCAGTTTAGTTTTGTTTGCTGCTTTTTATGTTTGCCCAAAATGTCAGTCTTATTATAGTCAGAATATCTATCTAATATTATTAACTCTCCAGAACCCATGAGGTTGCGGCAGTAACTAATCAGAACACCGAATAACAAATAACGAATAACGAATAATAACACTGAATAACAAGAGGCATTGGAAGAATAAGTCACGCCCCGCGTGTCTTACTGTAAAAATCACCATACCATCCTTGACTAGAAATGAGATGAGAGACATGAGAGACAAGCGCTTCTCAGTGTCGTGTTTCGCTCTGTTCTTGTTTTATCGATTTTTTTTATTAATGATAAACCAATGCGGAGTAAAAATTTGTCGGCTTCTTGCAGAGGGGTTACGATGACGTGAGAACGCCGAGCTTTTTTTGGCTGATTGAAAACAAATAGTGGGTAGACCTCAAAGCATCTAGCATTCAGGTCTACCCACTACATCCTTTGAATTCAATCAAAACCAATCGGTGCTCGGCGTCGTTCTGACGTCCCCGCAACCCTGTGCAAAAGGCAGACGACTTGCTTTCCCCCTAACTTGCTCGGAACTCTCGTTATTGGTCAGGACTCAACAGCCAATGAGTCTATGGCATCACCCGATAAAAACGCTGAGAAATAATCCCAATACAGGAAGTGTGAACAGCATAAGCCACGCTTTGTTTTTGTTGAGCGGTCAACGACCATAGACGCTTAGCGCTAACAAAATGATCTTTGCCAGTTGCTGGCTCCCAGGAGGATTCTTTTTCAGATTATTTTACAAGCACCCGCTGCCGTTATCTTATTTCTTGTTATAACACCCTAATAATTAAAGTCTTATGGTTGTTAACTGCAGAACAAGATCGAGAAAATGTGTATTTACCTTGAGAGCATACACGCACAAAAGTTTAACGTAAAACATAAAAAAAGACTTATCGGTGCGTCTCTCAATATCATGGCTACGCCATCTGGTGAACCTGTTGGCAAATATATGCCATCAATCGTGATTTGTGGCCCGGGAATAGATTTGAAAACTTGATAAGACTACTAAATAATTTAGTGTGGTTACAGCTTAATTTGAATTAAGTTACATTCTTCTTTACAACATACAGGGTTGACATTGAAATAATCTTGAATATTTTTCTCATATCTAGATATTTTATTGAACGCAACGGTTAAGGAAGAAGAGCCGCAGAATGCTACTAATAAGGCTATCCTGGCCTACAGAGTCTGCCTTTGTGAGAGTACGTAAGTTTCTTGTTCAAGGTAAAAGAACTAAATGCGGAGCCAGAGTATCGCATTCCCTTTTTTTCGATGCCGAGTCCTCACTGGCGGCGAAGTGGCAAGATTCACGAAATGATCCAAAGCGCCTGCCGGGTGCACACGCGTGCGTTTTGAGAGAAAGGGTTAGCTGCTCCCTGGACGTTGGGAATCCAAACCAATGCTTCAAATTTTCAACGTTAGCCTCAGTGAACCGCCTTTTTTTATATACGACACAAGAAACTGTTACTGAACGACACCAAATCGGTGGGAACGCAAACTCAGATAAAACAACCCCTATTTGAAGAAAGATAAACCCCTTAACAGGGATGCCAACTATAAATACTCCATAGACTTTCCAGTTTCATTATAAAAAACAACAATTAATATCCGTTAGTGTCAAGAATACATTCCCCATAAAAACCAGAAAGCACCTCTCAACAACCGCTTGTATCGAAAACACAATATCTACATTAACTAAGAAACATCAATTACTATACATTTTTTTTTGTATTTGATAAGACTGTTTTGTCAAGAACCTTCCCATTAAGAATTAACGCTTGGTATTTCATTAGTTCTCCACCGAGAATCACCGCTTTTTAGTGTCCTTCGGGAAGATATCGTCAATATACATACATTGCTGGAAATAATACACACCAAAAATCTTCACCATTTTTTGTCTTTTAAATATACACCGGAAAGTCCAGGACATGGCTATTCAGATCTGATGAAAATAAACCCCATTCTTTCTTTTTCCGAAATCATTTAGCGCTTTAATTTGTACGGCGACTCAAAATGTGTTTTTTATGCTGTTTCCACTTCGCGCTACATAGTGATGGTGAGAATTTACAGATCTGCAAGAGTCTGCTTTCCCAGCAGAGGTCATGTCAGTGCGCCTTAGTCCATGCAGGTCTACGTTATGAGTGACATCAGCCGCAATTAACACCCACGGGCATTTCAAGCAGCCCTAAGGTCTTAATATATACTTTGCGCTTTTTCCCCGCTGTCAGTCACAAAGGGTGGTCTTTAAATTGATGGTTGGATAAATTTGTTTATGAATTATAATTACCAAACTCATCGTACAATATCTTAACGCTTTCTGAAATAATGATTTCGCACATCAAAACCTCCCACATTATATTTTGTGCTCACACTGAATTTAGCAAAATGCTTTAGCTGCCGTAAATTTAAATGATTCGTTAGTAACACACACATGCATTGTGGGTCAATTCCAAACAAGTAAATTTTCCACACCGATGGATTGATCTAAAACGTGCCCTTTCAAAACATGCACAAATGGGATTCTAAATTTTGTACTCGCCCACAATCAACGAATTCACGTTCTCATGGACATAAGGAAAAATCTCATTTTGGTTCCGTCATGTTTTTTTTTTGTTTTTGAAGTGTATATATAAAGCTAGGTTTTTTTTACGTTTTGTTTGGTGTTTAAGGTTTTAATATGAGTTTTGGACTGAGAAGCAGTTTGGAAAATAACGATCAGAATGGGGTTAAATCGTGATTTAAATCAGACGAGTTGCACGATGACAATTTAAACCAAGCTTTTCCTGCAGAAATAATCCTGAAAATATGTATGATTTACCGTTCATCTATCATGTGATGTTTTCTGTGTGCACTGTTTTGTACTGAAATCAAAGTATCGATCAAGCAAGAATGATTCATATCAGGCTGAACACGAGCAGAAAGCACTTCTCGTCAGAGCAACTCGGAGCACTGAGCTTTCTACCTATCTCACGCCCCGATGCTCTGTTACGTAGTGTCGTATTGCAAGCGAATCAAAACACGAAATTAAGAAGGAAGGAAACGAAAACTAGGAAAGTTATGTCCTATTGCAAGCGAGCGAGAATCCGAAAAAAACAGCATATAGGGAATTTTAGCGGGCGTCAAAAGACAAATTGTTTAATGTTCTAGTATGACGGAGTTTACATCCATAAAGAGTTGATAATTAATCTGTACTTTAAATTTACAGTAATTACTTATTGTTGGTTGTTATTAGTCTGACTTATTAATCAATCAGTCTGCCATGTTTAAATATATATTTAGTGATAAAATCACTATTTTCAGCTGCTCTCACTGAAATCAAATTAATCTGCTTTTCATTAAATAAATGTCCAGTTTTTATCTTTTTTTTTTACTTTTCTAGGAAGCGACAAAAATGTAAACCCAAACTCTAAACATGCTGAAGCTGGTAGAACCCGGTGGAAACAGACATTTCAACATTGAAATAATCCAAACACATTTCTTTATTATTAATCATATCCAGCGAGGTTATTCATCCTAAAGACACTGATGGTCATCATAAAAAGGCAGGCGTCAACTCACACAATTTAGCCAAAGCTGATATGCCTACCTCTCGTGTATCAACCAAATTTCTGTTCATTTTGATTTATTTTAATTTAAAGCTCAATGGCACAGTCTTGCATATTAATATTTTTGAATATTTGTAAATAATGTATTTAGTCCTTAGTGTTAAATTGAAGCAGAAGATATACGGTAAACAGCTCCTCCACCGATTTGGTCAAGAATATATATCCTAATTAAGCAAATTTATATTTTCACAAAATATAACCACGCCTTCTCCCTGCAAATGAAAATACGCATACAAGATGGTAAACAAGCTCCAAATAATATGCCGGAATACAGGAATACTACACAAAATGTGTGTTGTTTGTTTGTTTCGCATAACTGCGTCTTTTTACGCGCTTGGAAGGGGGTGCAAAGTAAGGAAGTCGATGTCACGAAAACTTGGTCACGGAAGTGACGTCCCGCACCTAAAATAAATTTTGAAGGGGGTGCAAGGCTTAAAACACGATGCCACGAAAACTTGGTCACGGGATGTCACAAAAACTTGGTCACAGAAGTGACGTCACGAGCGTGAAAATAAATTTGTAGTTAGTTTGAACGCAAAAGTAAAAAAAAAAAAAAAGGATCGTGCGAGCGGGATACAGTTCATTCGTCACATGCACACTCGTCACAGGACGATTGGTCACAGGACGATTCGTCACACAGGAACATTCGTCACAGGATGACTCGTCACGCGGCCAACCGGTCCCACAATAGTTCGTCCCCCAAAAAATGTATTGCTCAATTTGGTTCGGGCGGACAAAGTGGCTCACCTCATATCTTAGTATGTGCTTGGCTTCTGAAATACGAAGAATTTGTAACAAACGTTTTAGCTTCTGGTTCGGTCCCGAACATTGAATGGTGGTTTGGCCTGAAAAAGTGGGTCACCTCTTATCTTAGCATGTCTTTCGCTTCTCAAGGTCAAAGAATTTGTAACAGACGTTTTAGTTTCTGGGTCCGTCCCAAACGGTGAATGCGGAGGCCATATAAGAGCGACTTTTTTTTAACTCGGACTACATTTAAAAAGGATGGAGGTGATCGCAACAAAGAGAGGTGGAGCCATGCAGCTGCACGAGGGGTACTCGTACACATGCCGCAGAAAGAATTCCGATACTTATTGATTTTGTCGAATAGGGGTATGCAAGGCACAAGTAACAACTGATTTGGCTGAGTCGGATTATTGCTCGTTCAAGCCAGCAACTGAGATCAACCTGCTGAAGCCTCGTAATATAATAAAAGTAAAAGCGGAGTATTGTAAGATTAGTTTTCCTAACCATTGGTTTATGTGACAGTGGGAAGTCGTGAAACTCCTCATCAGCGAATGTGGGTAGTCGTTGAAATTTGTGATTTACTATCGTCCCCTGGCCGATCGATGTGACCAGTTGCCCACATGACGAGTCATCCTGTGACGAATGTTCCTATGCGACGAATCGTCCTTTGACCAATCGTCCCGTGACGAGTGCGCATGTGACCAATCGTCCTCATCCCCGTGCGAGCTCTCATGCGTGACGACGCACTCCTCGCACCATGGTACACCAATGATTCGGCGAACATGTTATAGCATCCACCACGGAGGCGCCGCCAACTCTCTTTATCCCGGTGTGCTTTTCCCGAAAAAAAAATTTAACATGTGTTTGAAATAGCCCAATAGCAAACCCAGGCTTTGTCCGCCGACTTACTTTGCACGCCATTCCGAAAATACGAACCGGAGACGACGTCGCGGGGTGCTGTAAGATTGCTTCAACGGGACGCCGAGCCACTGGCATTCACATCTTGCCAACGTTGCTTCTTGCGCACCCACCATAGTCATGCGGCACGAGTCCCTGGACGTATCTCCAGCTGCCACAAAAGCACATATGGAATGAGTGGACAAAGCACGGCCTTTCTTACACCCACCCCAACCCCTCTCATTTCTCGTGCCATCCCCACGTAGTTCTAGATTAATTAATGCAGCATAGTACACCTATGCACCGACCAGAGTTTTCAATTTTTTGCTGTCTCGGATTTACGAATATGGGCATTCTCTCTGGATGCTGCCAAACGAACAGTAATACGATATTAACTGAGATCATTTGCTCCTTTTCCCGCATTCGTAAATCTCGGCGCTGCCGTGCTATCCTAGCACAGTGCGAGAGAACCAATTTTGACTTCCCCGCAATATTTATCGGGAAAACGCTCCCAGCTACAGTAAGCGTCTAACTTGAGTTGGTGTATAATATCACACTATTTTAGGTTTTCCGGCTAGACTTGATACATATAGACGCGACGGTGAACAGCCGTACACGATCTCGCGGTTTTGAGACCGTAGAAATGATCTTGCATTTAAAAGAAGCTTTGTCAACATTTTACATGTACCTCATCATATTTGATTATTTTGTATGTCAAACAGCTGCCAACGAAACAGAGAAATTTAATGACCTGCTGCAGCTGCTTAAGAAATATGGCTTTACCAAGTGGCCACTACTGAATGAAGAAGAATCACCTTATGAAAACTACACTCAACTACTCAACCAATCATCTTTTGTTCGATTTGTTCGTTTATTAATAGACATGGACGATAGGAATCCTCATTCAAACGTGATTTACGTAAGTATCAAACAAACTCTTTCAAAACCCTTTTGATTCCTCACAACCCCTTAGTATGCGGGCAGTTTTGCGCGACATTAATGCAGCCACGCGGGCCCTCAGTTACCAAGGACGGGAAAAAAAAAAACAGACAGTTTCTAACAGTACCCACTCACTTGCCAGAGCATCCCCAACCTCCCAGCCGGGGTTGGTGAGATAGTCAGTCCTCTCTCGTGGCTAACAGATTGCAAAGCCAGTTTTTTTCGCTCTCCTCGACATTATTTTACAATAAACTGCATACCATCGCATCATTTCATTGATTTTTTTTTTACCCGTGAAAGAATTTTAGCGGCGGCTTCGGAATTGCGCATGTCCGAATGTGTAAATAAATGCAGTTGTCAGTTTTGTCAACAGAAGCGACATATGCGTCATTTTCCAGGTGGGCCTATCCGAAAATGTGTGAAAACACTTGATTCTTCGTGAAGAAGTCTGTGCGCTTTGTTAAGAAATCCGGAGGGTCTCCAGATTTCTTAACCGTGTGCAAAAGTGTCGATTGCTGCAATCCAAACTGTTTACGAAAGCGCAGCGCCACAAGAAAAGGGCACAACTCACCGAAAGAAAGTTTCGCCGGTCTCGCGGCGTGATCAAAGCTTTTTTACTTACTTACGGTCCAGAAAGGAGCTTGATCCAGTGGCGTCGGAATAGGGGAGGTGGTTACGGTGGCGGTAACAGCGACAGGGAGCACACGAGCATATGGGCCACGTTTCAAGAACATTTCTATCTCGCCGTTTTTTACTTTTGTGTTCGAAAACGTACCTTGCTCCGCAGCGTTGCTCTATCTGTGCTACCATGTGATCCATTCAAGTGAATTTGGAGCATAGCCATGGTTAATAGTGAATAATAGCAACCCTGGATTTTTCCCCCCTTATTGATAGGAATTTTCGCAGGAACAGCTGGACGGTCCAGAACTCCGTGGCCGATATATGCTGCAAAGACGTCTACGCGCGAGAGACCTTCAAACTTTACCGTTGCGTCGATTCTTGATTGGTGTCCAAGCGTGCGAAGGCACAGAGAGACAGCACTTCGACGTGCCAAGGAAGCTTTGATCACGCCACGAGACCGGTGATACTTGCTTTCCACGACTTGTGCCTTTTTCTTGCGGCGCAGTGCTTCTGTAAAAGTCTCCACGTGTTCTCAAAGGCCCCTCTCACACTTTCCAGAAATGTTTTAAAAACTCCTTCGGCGAGTCACGACAGACGAGCAGAAACCGTTTCTTCAGCTTGCGGGCGCCAGCCTGTGCAACTCTCCAGAAATGCGTTTTTTTTTTTGCATGCAAGATGACCGTTTGGTGACCGCAGTCGCGGAAGGGGGAAGCGCAGTCCAGCAATTCTTATAGAAATCAGGGGTCGCGCGACGGAGATAGTAGCTAGGCCACCATTGGCATCGAACGTAGAGCGAATGGCAGTACTTCGCTTTAAAACACACTATTTATTCCCAAAATATAAATTAAGTATTCATAATACAATTAAAACATGTAAAACCGGCGCATATGTTACCATTATATTACTATTAATGTATTAATGTCGAAGAAAACATTACCGCGAAAGGTAAGTTCCCAGCAATAGCAACGCAGACTCCGCTTTTCTTTTCTACCCAAACAAGCTGAAATTTAAAAAAAGACGGATCACCGTTTTTTTAGTCAATAATAAAAATTAATTAAAAATAGAAATGCAACGTGGCCAGCTTCGCTATCAGAACTGGAAGCGCACGGCGTGCCAGTTCAGGAGAAAACATACCGGAGAACGTATATGGACCACTGAACCCCGCTACCAAGTTGTAGACATGGAGCAACGAGGTAAAGGGCTTTAGAGCGATAAACTGGCTGCTGTAAGCGATCCCAAATTGGCCGCCGTAAGCGATCCCAAATTGGCCGCCACCATGTTGAACATGTTTTACCACTTCACGCGTGAAGTTCCAGTTTTACGCCTAGATATTAACAAAGTACTATGCACTAAAATGGCTTACTGATCCTTAATAACAGTACCGACGAGATTAGTTATGTTAAGTTTGTTTTAAGACTAAAATGTGCTTTTACGACAAAAACCAGGCCACCTTCGCAATAGATGCTAGATGCTGTCAGCCGGCCTGTTGTATTTTTTTTTTATCGGAGCTAGACACTGATCTCTAGGGCTAACAGTATTGAAAAAATAGGTAATGTTTTTTACAGAGATCGCGCAATACAAATCTCGGCTCACTTTTGCGTAAAAGCCTCAGTATTTGGTACTGTAGCGTGTCTAGTAGTTTTTGTTGTACAGCATGGCGACAGCCAAATGGTGGGTCACTTTTGCCTAGTGACCGGAATACCAGTTTGTCGCTCTAAGCCCCTTGTTAAATATGAGATGTAGATATTAGAAGGTTGCCTCATCGGTTTATTCCGATGGAGCCTCCGATGGAGCCTGGCGCTACGTTCCCAGCCTGTCGTTTGTCTGCTCGTGCCACGCGGGTCTTAAACGCCGGTGCGTGCGCAGCCAATGGTCACAAGCCGATGGGCGCCAGCTTGCCAGCCGCTACATAACACCCCCTCCAACTAGTCGTGGCTCTCGTAGCGTTGCGTTTGTCGTCGTGCTCAAGTGCCCCTCCGGATACCAGTGAACGTTCCAGCGTCTGCCGTCGAAGAAGCTGACGCTGGTTCGCGACCGCCGGCCTGCTACTGTATCACTGGGGTGGTGCGTGTAGTCGAGCTGGACTATCTTTACCGGGAGATGGTGCCCTTGGTGGAGTTGGGCTCTGGTCAATCCCGAGGTCCCACACAGGAGACGGAGTCTTAGCTTCTTGTTGAGCGTTGGCTGTTGTCCATCGTTGACGTACGCGGTTGGTATGACGACGTACCGAACCTTCATCTATGTTCACCATCCATGAACGGAGGCCCATCTGACGTTCAATTACGGCAGGAAACCAGCCTTTGCCGTGTGGAAACTTCTTAGTCCAGACCGACTGTCCCACGCTCAGTTTTTGTGCGTTAGCGACACTTTCCGTGCTCGCTGGCTCTTCAGGAGCTACAGTTTTTAATCGCTCCAGAGCTGATGGAAGTTTCCTGCCATAAAGCAACCATGCTGGCGTTTCTCCCGTTGCAACGTGAATACTAGTCTGCCGTTTGAATAAAACGTGGCCAGCACACAATTCAACTACTTCTTTCCTTTCTTCCCGAGTGCAAATTTTCGCTCCTGTACCATGCGCTCCGCCTGGCCATTAGATGCGGGATGGTACGGTGCACCTTTTACAGCGATGATCCCGTTGTTTCGGTAAAATGATTTCATCTCCTCGAAAACTAGCCCGCGCCATTGTGCGACACAATCTTCCTTGGTGGACAAAACGTTGCAAAGGTGGTCCGTAATTCTTTAATGATGACGGCAGACCTCATGTTGCGGACCACGCGCACTTGCAGCCACTTCGTGAACGCGTCCACCACAACCAGAAAAACATGACCCACGACAGGACCTGTGAAGTCCAGGTGAACAGTGTCTCGTGGCTCGGTTGGCCTATTCCATACAGGGGTAAGTTCCTTCGCAGGTGACCTCCTTTGTATCTGGCAGGTACTACATGCAGCGACTCATATTTCAATATCGGCGTCAATTCCGGGGCAACAAACGTAGCTGCGAGCGCAAGCTTTTATCGCGACAATTCCGCGATGTCCCGAGTGAATTAGAGCCATCGTGTCTCTTCTCAGGTGGTTAGGAATCAGGACTCGTGTTCTCCAGCTTACGCATCCTCTGTGTTTCGACAACTCTGCCGCTTTACTTCTGTACTGCGCGTGCTCTAGGACTGACACCGATGCAGAGTGCCTTCTTGTAGTGCCTGGTATATATGGTTACCAGAGCGGCGTCACGTGCTGTCTCCCCGGCTACTTGGTCTGCGGAGAGCGGAGGGCGGGTCAAGGCTTCAAACATCAGGATGTCTCCTTGTAATTCTGGTTCCTCCCCCATGGTGGACATGAAAAGTTGGCTTACAGCGTCCGCATTCTGATGATGGTTTCCTGGCCTGTACATTAGTTCATGCTTATAAGCGGTCAATTTTGCGCACCATCTGGTTATCCGCGGTGACAACACTTGTGGAGCGGGCTTGTCAGCTCCTAGGGTGCCAAAAAGTGGTTCATGATCTGTGTCGATTATCATGCTTTGCCCGCGACATACTGATGAAAATGGCTGACTCGGTACACATTGGCTAGGCCCTCTCAGTCAAGTTGTGAGTAATTGCGCTCAGCGGTTCCCCTGGAGTTTCCTGGACGCAAACGCAATCGGAGCCTCTCGGCCGTCGGAGTCCAACTGTGATAGTACAGCACCCACATCGTAAGGCTAAGTGTCGCAGGACAACAGCAGTGGTTTTCTTTCGTCATGGTCTGCCAGTACAGTATACTACAGCACCAGATCCTTCAACTTCTGGAAAGCCTCGCGGTGGTTTTCCTCCCACAGCCACTCTGTCTTCTGTTCCAGTAGGTTATAGAGCTCTTTCGCATCCGTTGCTCTATTCTCGAGAAATCTGTCATAAAACGTTAGCAGTCCTAAAAAGAATTGCAACTCTGTCTTGTTCCTTGGATCGGGCGCCTGTACTACGGTCTGAATGTTGTGCTGCATGGGATGTATGCCGTCCGCATTGATGAGGTGGCCAAGAAATTTTACTTCACTCACCCCGAAGCGGCACTTGGTTTCCTTTAGTCTTAGTCCTGCATCTTCTAGTCTCGTCAATACTTGATCGAGTTGATAGGTATGTTCTTCCGCAGTCTCCCCGCTGATGATATTGTCGTCTAGGTACGCACTGACTCCTGAGATGCCTGCTAATGTTCTGTCCGTGACTTTCGGAAGATTGCAGGAGCTGCCGCCACCCCGAAAGGAAGTCTCTTCACTCGATACAGCCCCTTGATGGTGTTGATTGTCAGCACCTCAGCCGTGTCATCTCTCACCCCTAGCTGTTGATAAGCCTGCTCAAGGTCCAGCGTCCGGAAGGCTGTGCCACCCGGAGGTTAG